TCCTAGAGGTCGGTGAACCTGTTGGAATCTAGAAGACATCTTCCGGCTGGCTCTGAACACAATGGGACCAGATGGACTATTAGGCATGAACTAAAGCAGAACCTACATGCTGACAAGGAAGCCTGGTGGACCAGTAGGGCTCAAGAAAGGAAGGAGGCAGGAGCAGTAGGCAATTGCCGCATGCTCTTCCGGCTGATCCTCACCACTGGTCCCAGAAAACCAGGCGTCAGTGGCACAATAAGAGACAGTGCGGGTGCGCTGATACACAATACGGAGCGCCGTATGGCTCGTTGGGCGGAACACTTTCAAGATCAGTTCAGCTGGCCCCCTGCTCCCAGACCTCTTCCTACTCAGGTGATGTAGGGCGAGCCATGGACGGTTAGTTTAGAGCCTCCGTCAGAGGCCGAGGTTCGAAACGCGATCACAGCCCTTGATCGTTTTCGTGTCGTTGGCCCGGATTCCCTCCCACCTGCACTATTTAAGGATGGAGGTGAGGTCTTCTGTAAATCACTGACCTCCTTATTCGAATGTATCTAGAAGGAAGTGTCCTGGCTAATTGGAGCGAATCGATTATAGTGGCAATACACAAGAAGGGCAGTCGCACAGACTGTTCTAACCACAGGGATATTAGCCTAACGCCAGTTGTGACAAAATTACTGGCCTCGATTCTCGTTCGTCGCCTCACTGCGGAACGGTGATCTCGGACTAGAGAAGAGCAGGCAGGTTTCCGCCCAAGATGTGGCTGTATAAACCATATATTCACTTTGCGGCAGGTGCTAGAGCAGCGTCACGCATACCGCAGAGCGACAACAGCTGTGTTCCTCGATTTTCAGAGTGCGTTCGATTCAGTCGACTGATGCATTCTGTTCGAAATACTTGCGCTGAAGGTGTTGCCACGAAATATGTGAACATCCTTCGTGCTCTATACTCGAACATTGCAGGCCGAGTCAGGGTCTACGATGTCCTATCGGATAGCTTTCCGACCACAAGTGGCGTCCGTCAGGGTTGTCCGGTTTCCCCATTTTTGTTCAATTTCGTCGTGGATTCTATCATGGAGTGTTCCCTTGCGGAATCTCACAATGTAGGCGTCGTAGTGCTGCGTGGTGAAAGATTAGTTGATCTAGATTATGCAGACGATATCGTCTTGCTTTTCGACGATGTTGGGGCGGCACAATCAACCCTGAATAGCCTGTCCAGAGTGGTCTCATTATTTGGTATACACTTCGCACCTTCAAAGTGCAAAGTGTTGCTGCGGGACCACCAGCCACTTGATGACCCCTTGACGCTTGCTAACGAGGAACTCGAGGTGGTTGATCATTTCACTTATCTTGGCAGCTGCATCAGCAATGATGGGCGCATAGAAACTGACGTCAGCTCACGCATTGCAAAAGCCAGAGCTACCTTCTTGAATCTGCGGCATCTTTGGCTACAGAAGGGAGTTTTCCTCCGTCTGAAAGGCTGGGTATACAAGGCCACAGTGAGGGCCGTTCTGCTCCATGGTAGTGAAACTTGGCCGCTTCGGTCTGAAGATCTGAGTCGCCTTCAAGTCTTTGATCATCGTTGTCTGCGAAGCATTGCTGGTGTCGGATGACACCAGCGTGTCCGCAACGATGATGTGCGTAGGCGAGTACTAGGAAGTGATAATCATGTTAGCTCCCTAGAACAACAGATAGCACTGAATGAGTTGCGTTGGCTCGAGCACGTGCTACGTATGCCTGGTCACCGCTTACGTAGGAGGGCCTTGTTTAATCTGCCAGGTGTAGGGTGGCGCAAGGCTCGAGGTGGACAGAAGTTGACTTAGCGGCGGGAAATGAAGTCACTAACGAGCGGATTGGGTGCCGTTGGTCTGTTTCGCCTTCCGGGCTGGAGTCCACGTGACTCGACTTGTGCTTGGCTCGAGACTTTACAGGACGTAGCTCGCAGTAGACATCAGTGACGCGTCTGCTGCCGTCTCCTAATCGGATTGCCTGTTTAAAGTGTGTTTGGTGCTGAGTTATCTGCGGGGTAATGGCTGATTATGACGCGTGGCAGTGAAAGCCGCAAGGAAGCTGTCTCGCCGATGCCGCCTTATCTTTGCACGATAGCCAGCTGTTTGTGACAGTATGTTGTCTACACAAGGTGTAGGCGCCTTGACCCGGAATGTTTGCTTAGGGCATTAAGGTTTTCAGGTTAGTCCCTCTTCTCCTCGTCTTCTTATTCTTTATTTCATAGGTTTTCATGTTTGTATGGCAGCGAAGCATCAGTTCAAATGGCTGATATACTGCTGTTGATGATGAGGATGAGGATGACAGCCAGCGACTTGCCGCTAACACGAAGCTGTTTGTGGACATGTCTATGGTGCAGTCTCTTTTTCTATGCGGCAGTGAAACATGAGCGAGGTACCCGGGCTATGTGAGATGGCTTAAGTGGTTTCATATCCCGTGTCTGCAACGGATTCTGCACGTCAGTTGATGCGGCAGTGTCGCATACACGGAGTTGTTGCGGCGACGTGTAATGTGTGCAGTGGACTGTTAACTTTTGCCCAGACAGGTGAGGTGGGTCGGTCATATGTGCCGTATGGATGCGACGTGAATACCGAAGTAGCTGTTATATGATCAGCTGAGTGTGGGGAAGTGGCATGTGAGGAAATCGAGTCTTCGTTATTAGGACAAGTTCAAGGTAAGCCTATCACCTTCTAATATTGATTTCAAGCGTTGGGAACCGAATTTGATCGATCGGCGTGCATGGCGCGGATTGATCTCGAGGGCAGTTGCCGAGGTGAAGGGGAATGCCCTCGTGTATGCGGAGAAGAAGCGGCAGTTGCGCAAGCGCCGATGGTGTGTACTCCATCGACGTAGCGCGCATGGTTCTGCAGCACATGCGGTAGCAAGTGGGAGTCAGACACGCCTAGTGAGCTACGAGCAAGGCCACTGGGAACCGGCACCAAAACGATGACGGGTCCTGCTGAGAACGTAAGCAGAACCGGCGCAGCGTTGGTATGAACACTGCATGCGTTTCCATTCGATTTACCAAGCGCGTGTTTGCGTGCTGAGTCTCTTTATTTCCGGTGATTGCTTTGCTATATTGTCTTAATGTTTATTTTGTTACCTCATTTTAATGCCTACCTTAATAATCTACTATTTACTTACGCACGTAGCTTAAACGAAAGGTAATTCACTGCGTTAATTTTTCTGGTTTGTTTTAAAAAATCTTTTTCTGCCATCTTGAATTTATTCCGGACATGTTGGTAACCCATTTATTCCCTATGCTAGTTTAGCGAAGAGTTATGTCGGCATATCCGTATGCTTTATTCGATTTATATATGTATATATATATATATATATATATATATTGCCATTTCAAGTGACTGGCTGTTGCTGTACATCCGCGGTGTGGCCGCGCTTGTTGTAAACTTTGACAAGTTACCTACCTCCACCTCGATTACTGGCTCTAGGAGGCTGTGAATCGTTGCTGGCTTGACGGGGTGCACGGTCCTCATGGCCATGCTAGGATCAACGAGCGATTTCATCCAATGTGGAGCGGACTGCTGCCCAGCCACCGCCTTGTGTACGTCTGGTACGCATGGTTTCTCACTTAGGCATGCATGTTTCTACTGTGCTTGTTGAAGGTGGACCGGCTCCGTTGGTGAAGCGTGGCTCCCATCCGAATGCCTCGAGGTCTTATTCTTTCGGGTTTATAGGGGATATGGAGTGTGTGGGTGGTGCAGTGCAAGCCGCCCACGGTCCCTTTGTTGGCGCAGGCATCCTGTCGCTGTCTTATGGAGGCTACAGTGACAGGCAAATCCGAAACCGGATGCCGCCAACCTTATGCATGGCACCCTTCCAGCTCTGGATATTGATGGGCTCTAAGGAATCAAACTGCTATCAACCTCCTATTTCTTGCTTTTATTGTTGATGTCCACTCATTTTCCAATCGACACCATGACTTTACTCAGGCTGTCACTTTCTTCTTTTTCTTAAACTTTTCTACGGATTGCAGCAAACGATCTTGATAGGTTAGCGGGTATCCACCACAAACGACCTTTATAAAGACCTACCAGTGCACCTTACCGATAAAGCTTTCTCTTCGTTTAGCTGGCTTTTGGCTTTAGTAGGATAGGATTCCTGCTGTCTTGCATAGTGCCGATGCTTCTGCTTGTGGAACTGAATATCGCAAATGTCGGTGTAACTGACAAAGCCATTTCTGGCGTCAAACACAATTCGGATACCGCCCTGCTGGATTCATAAAGCTCCAGAAATGTTGCAGGTATAAACAGTAGGAAACTGTTACTGGCTTCCTACTAGATTTGCACCCACAATTAGAGATAACAATAATACAGCTTCATACTAATAGACGCCATCTGGCCTTTTGGCCCAGGGAACAGCCACAGACCATGCTACCGGTCTGTATCCGAGCTGCCTGTTTGGTTTTGCTCCCTAACATCTTATGTTCATGTTATTCAAGAGTTGTCATGTTGTCTGCAAGGTATCCGTGTCCGCTTGATGAAGATCACCCAAATCAACTGGGTTGCATTGACTTAAGGGCGACATTCACCAACCTTTACACTTGTCGCGGAACCAGTGTTAACAATGTTGTATCTGCCCACAGAAATCTGAAAGTGACCATATTATCCTGTTACACAAACCTACAGGATATTTAGGGACGCCTTAATATCGGTTGTCGATCCATTTTCATATGGCAATGAAGCATCATCATCATCACCATACACTTTTGCTAGCACTGTGAAGCACCTCAGCTATTGTGCCGCAATGCAGTACATTTACTAGGCTGGATTACATCGTGGTACGTGCATCAACGATCCATTTAGCCACTCACACCACATTGGTCATAGGTCAGACAGACTCATTCTCCTAGTCCACCAGGTTCGGGGTTGAAGTGAGAGGAATCCCTTATCCCTTAAAACATGTTTTACTTCTACCATAGTCTCAGATCACGAGCTATTTCCGTAGTCTTTATTTTCATCCGTGATCATTGGTGTCTTGTAAATCAATTGGTTCCAGAAACTCCGAGTAATCGCGGCCAACCAACTTGACAAACCAGCATCTCTGCATAGATGGAACGCAACTGCTCCCGATGATCTCACTTTGGAACAATTGCCTCCTGAATGTTTGTCACGTGTGCTCTCCTTTGTTAATTGTCCACGGGATTTGGAAACGGCTTCCTTGGCTTCTGGTGCAATCGCCAGTTTGGTTGAGGAGGATCACTTATGGCGTAGCCTAACTCTCGCCCATTTCACGATGAAGCAAATTTCTTCCGTGCACTTCGGCCGAGCAGGATGGCGCAATGAGCCTCCTGCGACCTTAAACGACTGCAATTGGCGCAGAGCTTATTTGCGTCTTCTCAAACGCTATGGTGATCAACATTTCTACACTGCCAAACTCGCTATTTGTGAAGTCTGCCTTTGTCTGTTCTGGCCGGTAAGCTACTTTTGTATTTGTTGTTTATTCGGTACGTTTATATAGTAAACATTGGAATTATCTGAGCGCATTTAACCAGAAGGATGTTCCTGCTCTTGTTTGTTTCTCATTCGGCGAATCGCTCCACAACTCACTTTAGGCTCCCGATGGCAAACCATAAGGCTCAGCTAAACCACTGTCTTAGTGCGCTGACCACCGGACGTTTCTTTTGATCCTACTTAACCAGATATATTCGTTACTGAAATCTCACTTATCTCCGTTGTCAGAGTTCCAAGATACCTGAGCACGCCCATAGACTTTGGCTTATCTACGATCCGGGACTCAGTCCTCCTATGTACACCTGCATTTGGTGTTCCCATCTTCATCACGGGTTTATCCACTATTCAGTTTCATGGTAACTTTACGCTGAACCTAAAGTATGGTCGTAGGTCGAAACCAAACAGAGCGATCGCGGCCAGTCACTTGTTATCATCGAATCCATCTGACAGATGTCATAATTTTTTTTATCTTACTTTGTCACCCATCTATTGGATGACAGCACCATCAGCTTGAATGTAATAAATACCCAGTTGGTAAAGTGCCCCAACTATAGGCGTCAGAAACAAGTATTGGTGAACAAGCTGGTTCTCAGTGGTTTGTCGTCAACCTGTCGTACCATGAACAAGTGGACTGAATAAACAAGGTAAAGTACCTACTCAGTGGCGTACATGTTCTGGATCATCAAGTTAGGTGATCAGCCCCAAAGCCGTTGAGGGCATTTCAGTGGTGGGGTACATACCTCCCGTCCGTTTGATGCGACACCAGGATAGACCGATTACCTGGACAAACATCTTTTGTTCGCATGGGTCTGAGTAAGGGAGCCGAGTGGTAACCGCTTCGGGTATTATCAGTATACGGCATCTGACGGCTCTTTTGTTGCGTATGGGTACGTGGTAATCCTGGCTAAAAAAGAACGGATACTGTTCACTAACATCTCTCTCTGCTTGACACACATGTACAAAACGGTCATGGTTAAACTGAACAAAACCAAGACGCTGAATCGTACCGGCGCCGAGAATCGGCACCAGCTTTTCTTTTACTACCACGAATTCCAACTGCTGTGAGGATCTGTCTCTGGGATTGGTCGATTTGGATGTGACAAAGTCTTTCGGTTAAGGCTTGAAACCGTTCCACATGCGCAGGAAGCCTTTATAAGCTCGCTGACGAATTTCTAGGCTCTGTTTTGCTGGTGTTGTGTTGATGGCAGCAACCGTATCTAAGTGAAAATGCACTATTTCCTCGTCAACCAATAAACTTGCATAGACGCATAATTTCGTAAGGCCTTAGAACACAACTCGGTTTTGTGTCGGCTTATATTGCAGCTACGCTTCGATCTTGACACAAAAGCTTCTTGTTGCAACGTTTTTTCTTTCGTCTGCCACTCTTAGCCACGTCAGAGAAGAACTCACACCGCTTTGCACACAAACGTTTTTATTTCCAAGTATGAGGAAAAGTATAACTAGCTGTGTTTTTAACTACTCACTGGCCTACTCAATCGATCGCCTGACCGACCGCACTGAGGCAGACGTTTCCCAAATGCAGCTCTGCTTACCTCTTTATTACCTCCCTCTTCAAATTGATTGCTCCTACCTATTTTCCACACTTGGGCTTGATTGTAGCTTTTTATCCTGGCGTTCACTTGTAGCCATCGCGGTTACCTTCGTCTTCCACTTTCCCTGCATCACAGGTCGTGTGGCGCCCGAGCGACCGGCTGTGTTCCTCTTTGGGGATCAATTTGCAGCCATAGTGGTCGTCTCCGCTTTCGGGTTGGCCTGCATTGTGCGTCATCTGCTGCTTGCCTCTTATGTTGTGATCCACGTAACCGCTAAGCTTCGTCTTCCAAACAAAATGTGTCTAGCATGATGTCCCATGGTAGGATGGCGGTTCTGGGGGACTTTGAGTCTTGCCCTGATTCTGCCTCAGCTGATTGGTGTACCTGACTCATTCCTCCTTTCTTACCATTAGCTCGTAGATGACCCAACCGTTTCTGTGCATCACTCTTCCTGTTATCCACCTCCTCGGCCCTCGGAAGTCTCGTGTGTACACCATGTTCCCAATTTCGCAATGACGCACGTTGTCTGTCTGCTTTTCCCCCGCATGATAACTGCAATGCTTTTCTTTCCTGCTTGGCGCAAGGCACTGCTCTTCGTACTGGTTTAGTGAGTGATTTGAAGTTCAGGGCAGCCCTGGTGATTCTGAAACATTCTGGACTAGGTTGGAGTATTGTTTTGTGGCCTCTATTCATCTGCGTAATCTGACTGCCATTGATTTCTACCTTCGCATCCTCAGGTCTGATGGGCGCATCTGATTTTGAAGTGGCTGTATGGCAGAAGTGTTGCTCTTCTATGGCTTCCGAATTTGCGACGACATTTGTACCAGGATTCAAGTTGAGCGACCTCTGGCATTCTGAAACAATTTCTTGTGATGTCAGTTCCGGTTCCCATTCTACTTAAGTGCTTAATGTTTGTGATAGCACTTCTATCAAGTGCCTCTGTGACTTTTCGAACTGCGACCGCTGCTGCTGCTGCAAAAGTTTTTGCAATTGTTCAAAACTGCCTGACATCTTTGGGTTCTTCTGACTCCTGTCGTCGATTTCGTCGAGGTCAGGGCTGCATCGACCACATCTTCACCTTGTGTCAGTGGTTGGAGCACCGCCATGTTTATTGGCGACCCACCGTTGTCGGGTTTCTTGACATAAAAGGTGCCTTCGACTCAGTCGATCGACTTGCCCTTTGGGACTGTCTGCTGAGGAAAGGTGTGCCTGATAAACATGCAATCATTATCAAAGCGCTGTACGCGCATAGTTCGGGCAGAGCGAGAGTTTATGGCAAACTGTCGCCACCTTTCAGTATCACCAGCGATGTGAGACAAGGTTGCCCCCTGTCACCTTTCCTCTTTAACTTCGCTATTGATGAAGTCATGGAAACAGCGTTCGCTGAACACGGCCTAGAAGGTGTGGAGCTACTTCCTCCTGAGCGACTTCTTGACTTAGAGTATGCGCACGATATTGCCGTAATCTATGACAGCTCCCAAACATGTCAAGCAGCCCTGGACCGATTAGCACTGGCTGTCAATCGTTTTGGGCTATGCTTTGCTCCATCAAAATGCAAAGTACTCCAAGATTGGCAGGGACCCAACCCTGTGCTAACGCTTGGTGGTGATCTGCTAGAAGTCGTTCAGGAATTCAAGTACCTGGGCAGCTATATTAGCACCCGTGGGATTGAAGATGAGGTTACGAACCGTATAGCAAAAGCTCGAGGTGGTTTTGCCAATCTCCGCCACCTGTGGCGCAGACGCGACATTACTCTCGCCTTGAAGGGCAGAGTTTATAACGCAGCCGTCCGTTCAACTCTCCTATCTGGTTGTGAAACCTGGCCCATCAGGTCGACAGACATAAAGAGGCTAGTCACATCCGATCATCGCTGCCTTCGCAGCTTAGCTCATGTCTGGTGGGAGCATCGCGTGAGCAATGAGCGTGTTCGACGTCGCGTATTTGGTGCAGGAAGAGCGAGTGAACTGCTCAGCACCATTATATCACGCACCAGGCTCCGATGGTTGGGCCACGTGTTGCGCATACCAGCACACCGACTTCTGCGACGTGCATTGTTTGCGCGTTGTGCATGCGGTTGGAAGAGGAGGGGACGCCAAGCGATGACTTGGTGGAGAGAGATGAAACCCTCACTTCGAAGTTGGCGTCGGTTGGTGCATCCCGACTGCCTGGCTGGGGTCCTAAGGACGGTGAACACGTTTGGTTGGACACACTTGCTGATATGGTTAGTAGCCGGCCCCAATGGCGTTTGTGTCGTGAGTTTCTTTGTCCATCCCCCTCCTGCTTAGCATCCTTTCCAATCACGATCTCACTCGTTAGGCATAATATAACTCTTTTTACAGAACGATAGCCATCTGTTAGCTCTCCGGAACGATGTCCATCTATTACTGGGGACTCAGCCGGCGTGCCACTATTTGTTTTCCTTTTCTTGTCTTTTGCATTGCGGCACAATAGTTGAGATGTGTTCCACATGCAAGTAACGTGTATAATGATGATGATGATGACTCCTGTCGTCACTGTTATAACGCTCTTTCTTCTCTCTGCTACTCCTAGCCACGTCAGAGAACAACTCACACCGCTCTGCAATCAAACGTTCTATTTACCACTATGAGGAAAAATAAAGCTAGCTATTTTTAATATCTCACTGGCCTACTCGATCCATCGCCTGATTGACCGCACTGAGGCAGACGCTTCTCAAATTCAGCTCTGCTTACGTCTCTATTACTTCTTCAGGCCTGAAGGCAGTACAACAGCGTGCTGTCCCTGGAGCTCTTGCCAGCTTGGTTCCCATTTCACTGTTCGTGTGTGCAAGTGAGCAGTTGCATTATGCGTACAGTTCGCTTTGCTCTGAAGCTGCTCGCGGAATGAACAATTTGCATGTACACGATCGAGCCAATCACTATGGGAGATCGGCCGAGAGCGATACTACTCAGTAGCCAACCAAGAGTACGTGACCTGTTGTACTTCGATGCGTGTCGCCGCCTTCATCCATAAGGCATAGGGCGATCACTTCCTCTGTCTCATTATCACCGAAACCGCGTATAGGTGAAAGAATCGCTTACTGAACCTAGGCTAGTTGCAGCTCCCAATAACATCAGTAGCGAGCACTACAGATGGAAGCTAGGTTGAATGAAATCTTTGTTGACTGTTACCGCCAGTCCTGGTGGTAGGTGCTGACTCTATTTGTGTGGCAGTGCAGCTTTGATGAACGAGAGTACAGCCAGTATATCTACAAAGTTTAAGGCAGATGCTAACTACGTTTGTTGTGGTACAGGTGTCTCTTGATTTCTTTGCCGGATATAACCCTCCCACCGGCGTCGGGGTAAAGCTATTGAGCCAAGCACTCCGAATAGAATCCCTCAAGGATACTCCATCTATCCCACTGCTTTATGGGTCAGCCTTTTAAGCCAAA